GGATGTCCTGGCCCCTCCAGGTGCTGGGAACACAGATCCAGAGGGGGATCATTCCCATTTGGGAGGTCCTGGTCCCTCCAGGTGCTGCAGACAGGATGCCAGAGGGGGGAATCACTCCCTGGGGGGGTCTGGCCCTCACCTGTGTTCATGTAGCCGCCGTGGTTGCCGCCGAAGCCGCCCCGGCCTCTCCCGCGGCCCCGGATGTTTCCGCCCCGGCCGCGGCCGCGCATGTTGGGGGGCGGGGGGGCCTCGTTGTGCATGGGGCCCCCCATCCCGAACCCCGGGTTGTGCTGCTGAGGGCACAGAGAGACACAGAGAGGATGGAGGCGTCACCCAGAGCCTCCCAAAACACCTCCCTCGAGGCGGCTCCGGGATGGCACCGCCTCGGGAAACCGGAGGGGAACAGCCGGAGCCGCGGGGGTGGGACTGGGAACTGGGGAGCCCCCGAACCCGGAGGCTGTTTGCCACAAAACCTGAGGGGGTTTGGGATTGCAAGCCCCAAGATCCACCTCTCCCCACCTGTCTGTACCCCACTCCCAGCCCCAGGAAGGGATCAGACCCCGGAGCCGCCGACCCCCTGAGCTGCGCCCCAGAGCCGTGGAAATGGGGATTTACTCACTTTGACTGGGAATTTGGGGCCTCCCCTGGCTGGCACGGGGGTTCTTTTCTTCTTGTTCTGCTCGATGGCCACGGGAGCATCCGGGAACAGCTTCTCCAGCGCGGCCAGCGCCGCGTAGGCCTTGGCCACCTTCTTGTTCGAGCCGGCGCCTTGGAACTTCTGCCCGTCCACCTCCACCTTGGGAAGGGAGGAAGCCGCCCGTGTCAGCGGGAAAGGGAGCCAAAAGATGGGCCCACTTGGGAAAATGAAGCATTTCTATGCTGCCTACGGGCAATCCCAGAGCTGGGAGTGCTCTGGGTGAGGCTGGATGAGACTCTGTCCCCTGGTCCGTTAATGAGCTTCGAAGGGTCTTTTCCAACCCGAACCACTTGGGTTTGAAGGTTTAAACTCCTGGCAAAGGGGATGAGGTGGCTTCCCAAGCTCTTTTCCTACCCAGCCCGCCCTGGATGGGATGATCCGAGCTCCTGGGAAGGGGATGGAGCCCAGGTGCCCCCTCCTCACCTCCATGACAAAGCGCTTGTCGTGGCTGCCGCCCGTCTCCGAGATCAGCTCGTACTTCAGCCCGCGCCGCTTCTCGTTCAGCTCCATCACGGGGTTCTTCCCGTGCTTTGTCAGGATTGGTCCCTGCTGCTTCACGTTCTGCAAGGGGAGAAGGGTGGTTGAAACCCCAGAGGAAACCCTGGAGCTGCTTCTCCCGACACATCCTTTGGGAGGTGACGCCACGAAGCCACGTCTGCCTCGAGTTTTACCCGTGACCGCGACCCAGAGAACCAACGGTCAACCCCGAGGCCGTGTCCCTTGCCCCCCAAGGTTGTGTCCCCACCCTGAGGCCGTGTCCTCCCCACTGTGCTCACCTCGGGGGTCTGATCTGCCGGGGGCGAGGCCGCCGTGGGCGTCGACACTGTTTCGACGACGGGCGGAGGAGCCACGACCACCGGTTTCTGCTCCGTCTCCTCCGCCGACTCATCGCCCTTCCCGGAGTCTTTGCCTTCCACTCCGGTGGGTAACCCCATGTCTTGCAACACCTGGAGAGGCGGAACAGGGTCAGGGGCCTTGCTTGGCTCCAGGGGCTCCTGCCTGCCCCACCCACCAGACCCCGGTGCTCGGCATTCCCAAATCCCGCGGGCGCTCCCCGAATCCCACGGGCGCTCCCCGAATCCCACGGGCGTGACTCTCCGTGCCCCCATTTCCAGCCCCACACCTGCCTGTGCCCCCATTTACACCCCTCCCCACCCGAGCAGACCCGAGCGCCCACCGGGGCCGAGCTGCTCCCGCCCCATCCCGGGGCTTTCCCGGGGTTTTTCCCCCCCGACCCCCCCCCTCACCTTGACGGCCACGTGCAGCTTCGCCGTCTTCTTGGAGGGCCCCGAGGCCTCGAAGGTGCTGCCGTCGATCTCCACGGACATGGTGAAGATGGGGGCGTGCACGGGGCCGGTCTGGGACACCAGCTTGTACTGCAGCCCCGGCTTGAGCTGGTTCAGCTTCATCAGGGCGTTCATGGCCTGCGGTGGCTCCAGCTTCTCCTCTGGGGGAAGAACCCACGCGGCGCTTGGCGGGCGCTCGTCTGCCCGAGAGGACGCAAAAGTCACCCCAGACCGGCACTTCCCGGCTCTGGACCGGTGGCAATTGGGGATCTTTTATCTCAGAGCAGCCCTGATGGGCCTTTGCCACTCCCAGACCAGTCTTTTCCCGTGCCGGACTAGTTCCTGTCAATCTTTCCCATTCCAGACCAGTTCCCATTGGTCTGTTCCCATTCCAGACCA